CTATTTAGACTCTTTGGGACACAATAGGGCACCACTCTTGGTTGGCTGTTAAGCACTATCATAATAAACATGTTAAATAATAATACTAGGTTTCAGAGTAACAGCCGTGTTAGTCTGTATTCGCAAAAAGAAAAGGAGTACTTGTGGCACCTTAGAGACTAACCAATTTATTTGAGCATAAGCTTTCGTGAGCTACATCTCTCTTCATCGGATGCATACTGTGGAAAGTGTAGAAGATCTTTTTATATACACACAAAGCATGAAAAAATACCTCCTCCCACCCCACTCTCCTGCTGGTAATAGCTTATCTAAAGTGAACACTCTCCTTACAATGTGTATGATAATCAAGTTGGGCCATTTCCAGCACAAATCCAGGGTTTAACAAGAATGTCTGGGGGGGGGTAGGAAAAAAACAAGGGGAAATAGGTTACCTTGCATAATGACTTAGCCACTCCCAGTCTCTATTCAAGCCTAAGTTAATTGTATCCAATTTGCAAATGAATTCCAATTCAACAGTTTCTCGTTGGAGTCTGGATTTGAAGTTTTTTTGTTGTAATATAGCAACTTTCATGTCTGTAATCGCGTGACCAGAGAGATTGAAGTGTTCTCCGACTGGTTTATGAATGTTATAATTCTTGACATCTGATTTGTGTCCATGTATTCTTTTACGTAGAGACTGTCCAGTTTGACCAATGTACATGGCAGAGGAGCATTGCTGGCATATGATGGCATATATCACATTGGTGGATGTGCAGGTGAACGAGCCTCTGATAGTGTGGCTGATGTTATTAGGCCCTGTGATGGTGTCCCTGAATAGATATGTGGGCACAGTTGGCAACGGGCTTTGTTGCAAGGATAGGTTCCTGGGTTAGTGGTTCTGTTGTGTGGTATGTGGTTGCTGGTGAGTATTTGCTTCAGGTTGGGGGGCTGTCTGTAGGCAAAGACTGGCCTGTCTCCCAAGATTTGTGAGAGTGTTGGGTCATCCTTCAGGATAGGTTGTAGATCCTTAATAATGCGTTGGAGGGGTTTTAGTTGGGGGCTGAAGGTGATGGCTAGTGGTGTTCTGTTATTTTCTTTGTTAGGCCTGTCCTGTAGTAGGTGACTTCTGGGAACTCTTCGGGCTCTATCAATCTGTTTCTTCACTTCCGCAGGACATACAACTACAATACCCACCATCACAGGAGAGTGATCACTTTAGATAAGCTATTACCAGCAGGAGAGTGGGGTGGGAGGAGGTATTTTTTCATGCTTTGTGTGTATATAAAAAGATCATCTACACTTTCCACAGTATGCATCTGATGAAGTGAGCTGTAGCTCACGAAAGCTTATGCTCAAATAAATTGGTTAGTCTCTAAGGTGCCACAAATAATAATACTGTGACCTAGAGGCAAACGGATTCATAGACTCATAGGGTTAGAGGAGACCGCAAGCGTCATCTCATCTCACCACCTGCCAAGATACTGTATATAGGATTTGTTGTGTCTATCATTTCATAACCACTGTTAGATTGAGATACAAGAATATATCTCAGGGGTGGGCAAACTATAGCCCGGGAGCCACATCCAGCCCTCCGGATGTTTTATTCTGGTTCTCAAGCTCCCGCCAGGGAGCGGGGTTGGGGGTTTGCGCCGCTCCACATGGCTCCTGGAAGCAGAAGCATGTCCCATTCCGGCTCCTATGCATAGGGGCAGCCAGGGGGCTCCGCACACTGCCCTCGCCCCAGTCGCTGCCCCTGCAGCTCCCATTGGCTGGGAACCACACTCAATGGGAGCTGAAGGGGTGGTGCCTGTGGATGGGGCAGCACACAGAGCTGCCTGGCCACGCTGCTGTGTAGGAGCCGGAGAGGGGACGTGCCGCTGCTTTTGGGAGCTGCTTCAGGTAAGCGCCCCCAAGAGCCTGCACCCCTGACTCCCTCCCGTGCCCCAACCCCCTGCCCAAGCCCTGATCCCCCTCCCGCCCTCCGAACCCCTCGGTCCCAGCCCAGAGCACCCTCCTGCACCCCATACCCCTCATGCCCAGCGCCATCCCAGAGCTACCCCCATCCAGAGCCCTCACCGCACCCCAACCCCCAATTTCATGAGCATTCAAGGCCCACTATACAATTTCCATACCCAGATGTGACCCTCAGGCCAAAAGGTTTGCCCACCCCGATATATTCCATTCCTAATCCAATCAGACTCTAGTATTTGACAGAGCTGTATATTTCTAGTTTAGAAATTAGATACATTATTTCAGCACCAACAATTTTAAAAAAATATTTATAAACTTCCATAGTTAGTACAATTACTTGCATTTTTACCTGAGCACATGGTGTTTACATAAGTATCTCAGATAACTGCCATCACAAATAAATGTCCTCAGCTCGCAGACAGCCAATGTGATGTGACAGATAGAGCCATGTCTCACAACCTAGCTAAGCATGGCAACGTTGCTGTAAAACTTTTCAATCTGATGAACACCAGAAAACGCAAAGGGTTTACAGTTGAAAACTGCTGCTTTTGGCTTGTTTTTGGGGTTGTAATTTAGGGTTGTCAATTTTGTATTCCTGGAGCTTTCATCACATGACAATCTTTAATTAAAGATTAATCTTTAATTCCTGGAGACTCCAGGACAATCCTGAAGAGTTGTAATTTCTGATTTTACGTATGTTGAACATTATTGCTAGAAGTTCTATGCATCTCAGGACAATCATAGAATCATAGAATATCAGTGTTGGAAGGGACCCCTGAAGGTCATCTAGTCCAACCCCCCTGCTCGAAGCAGGACCAATCCCCAACTAAATCATCCCAGCCAGGGCTTTGTCAAGCCTGACCTTAAAAACCTCTAAGGAAGGAGATTCTACCACCTCCCTAGGTAACGCATTCCAGTGTTTCACCACCCTCTTAGTGAAAAAGTTTTTCCTAATATCCAATCTAAACCTCCCCCACTGCAACTTGAGACCATTACTCCTCGTTCTGTCATCTGCTACCATTGAGAACAGTCTAGAGACATCCTCTTTGGAACCCCCTTTCAGGTAGTTGAAAGCAGCTATCAAATCCCCCCTCATTCTTTTCTTCTGCAGGTTAAACAATCCCAGCTCCCTCAGCCTCTCCTCATAAGTCATGTGTTCTAGACCCCTAATCATTTTTGTTGCCCTTCGCTGGACTCTCTCCAATTTATCCACATCCTTCTTGTAGTGTGGGGCCCAAAACTGGACACAGTACTCCAGATGAGGCCTCACCAATGTTGAATAGAGGGGAACGATCACGTCCCTCGATCTGCTCGCTATGCCCCTACTTATACATCCCAAAATGCCATTGGCCTTCTTGGCAGCAAGGGCACACTGCTGACTCATATCCAGCTTCTCGTCCACTGTCACCCCTAGGTCCTTTTCCGCAGAACTGCTGCCTAGCCATTCGGCCCCTAGTCTGTAGCGGTGCATTGGATTCTTCCATCCTAAGTGCAGGACCCTGCACTTATCCTTATTGAACCTCATCAGATTTCTTTTGGCCCAATCCTCCAATTTGTCTAGGTCCTTCTGTATCCTATCCCTCCCCTCCAGCGTATCTACCACTCCTCCCAGTTTAGTATCATCCGCAAATTTGCTGAGAGTGCAATCCACACCATCCTCCAGATCATTTATGAAGATATTGAACAAAACCGGCCCCAGGACCGACCCTTGGGGCACTCCACTTGATACCGGCTGCCAACTAGACATGGAGCCATTGATCACTACCCGTTGAGCCCGACAATGTAGCCAGCTTTCTACCCACCTTATAGTGCATTCATCCAGCCCATACTTCCTTAACTTGCTGACAAGAATACTGTGGGAGACCGTGTCAAAAGCTTTGCTAAAGTCAAGAAACAATACATCCACTACTTTCCCTTCATCCACAGAACCAGTAATCTCATCATAAAAGGCGATTAGATTAGTCAGGCATGACCTTCCCTTGGTGAATCCATGCTGGCTGTTCCTGATCACTTTCCTCTCATGCAAGTGCATCAGGATTGATTCTTTGAGGACCTGCTCCATGATTTTTCCAGGGCCTTTGGTGAGGCTGACTGGCCTGTAGTTCCCAGGATCCTCCTTCTTCCCTTTTTTAAAGATTGGCACTACATTAGCCTTTTTCCAGTCATCCGGGACTTCCCCGGTTCGCCACGAGTTTTCAAGATTAAGGCATGGCTCTTCCTGGTGCTACAGCATTATACCCTTTATGCTTTCTTAATTTCACACCATGAATTATTCTCCTCTTACTCCTTAATATTCATTTTATCAAAATTTATTGTATAGGAAAATGACGACATCTAGTGGCTAGTTAAGGTGTATCTGAATCAAGATAAAAAGAAAAGGAGGACTTGTGGCACCTTAGAGACTAACCAATTTATTTGAGCATGAGCTTTCGTGAGCTACAGCTCACTTCATCGGATGCATACCGTGGAAACTGCAGCAGTCTTTATATATACACAGAGAATATGAAACAATACCTCCTCCCACCCCACTGTCCTGCTGGTAATAGCTTATCTAAAGTGATCATCAGGTTGGGCCATTTCCAGCACAAATCCAGGTTTTCTCACCCTCCACCAAAGAGGGGGAGACAAACATGGAAAGACCCTGGCAATGGAAATGGCTAAACGTTGAAGGGATTCGATGAAAAGGGGGGGACAGAACAGAAATATGCAGCATAATAAATGGGGCAGAGAAGGTAAATTGAGAGCTCCTTTTTCCTCTGTCAATATAAGAACGAGGTGACATTCAATGAAACGGTTACAAGCAACCACTATAAAACTGAATTATTTTGATGCAGCTGAATGAACCTGAGGGATCAACTGCCATTGGCTATTATTGAGGCCAAGCGCCCTGTAGATATTTTAAAGGCTTAGACAGCCAGAGAGAGGCCTCGAGGACTTTTACAAAAATGCTTCCTATGCTCCCTTCTCTTCCCCTTCCCATCCGCCCCCACAGCTCCATGGCCCGGCTCCCCCTCAGCTCCCCTCCCACCTTTCTCCTCCACGCCGGGTCAGCGCCGTATCCCGCCCACGGGCGGCCCCGCCCCCCGTGGGCGCTGGGCGGGAGATTTGGGCTCCGCCGGTGGCGCTCGCGCGAGAGCAGGCCGGGCGCGCCATGGAGCCGGAGGGAGAGCGGGAGCGCGAGCGCCTCTTACACACCCAGGTACGGGGGTGAGGTGACGCCCGGCCCCGTCCTGGGGGCGCCAGGCCGCCTCTCGCTGTCAGGAGCGGAGGGGAATGGCCGCGCCCCTCTCTTTTATCCCGTGTCTTCCCCCCCAACCCCCACCCCCGTATATACACAGCCCCTGAGGGTGCTCTCCCTTCCCCCAGTCACCCTGGGGCGCTCCTGCCTCCCTTCCTCGCCCAAACCCCTTGGGATAAGAGCTCCCCGCCCCCATTTCCCATCACTTCGGGGTGGCCTCTCCCAGCTCATTCCTTGGGTCATGTTCCTCCACACCCAATGCCCTAACTCTTCTCCCTCTCCCTAACTATTTCTTCCCCCCTCCCCCGCCCCACAACCTGCTTTTAGGAATAGCTCTGTCTGTTTTTCCCCTCCCCATCCATCCCCATGGATGCTATTCCCACCCCTGTTTAGAGAATGAAAAGGAGTACTTGTGGCACCTTAGAGACTAACCAATTTATTTGAGCATGAGCTTTCGTGAGCCACAGCAGTGAGCTGTGGCTCACGAAAGCTCATGCTCAAATAAATTGGTTAGTCTCTAAGGTGCCACAAGTACTCCTTTTCTTTTTGCGAATACAGACTAACACGGCTGTTCCTCTGAAACCTGTTTAGAGAATGGAGATTCCCCTGGCGGAGGATTCCCATTTGTGCCTTTGAAAATCTCTGTGCCCTATAAAGTGTCATTAATCCCCTTCTAGAGCTATGGTGTCCCCTCCAGTTCTTTCCCACCCACTTCCAGTGTGGGATATTGCTTTTTTATTGTCTTCCCATGTGTTTCTATGCTGGACTGGGTATGTCCAATAATGTTATGCCAGTATCTGAACTGATACATGACTAGCCTCTTTTGTGCTATAATGCAGTAAATGGTTCTATGTTATATAATTCACAGTATATTTCTGAAAGACCCTAAATGTAAATCAAGTCGCTAAATTGTCAGTTTCGTAATGGAAGAATCAAATTAGAGTCAAATTGTCCAGAGGAAACAAAAAAAGTCCAGCATTTAAATATAAGTACATCTCAACAATATGAGAAGGCCTCAGAGCACCAAAGATGCTGTCCTTTAATTTATGTTTTTAATATTTTTATTTTGCTTTTTCTGGCTCTCTCCCACAAAATTAAGTTGTGGATATTGGACAGAGTATACATCTCCACTCAAATCTTGATTCTTCAGCCACTTGCCACCTGCTGCAGTGCTTAGGGTAATCTCATAGATTCTTCAGAGTAGCAAGCTCTACATAAGCATATAAGGCCCAGATCCTCAGAGGTATTTAGGCTCCTAACATCAATTGAAGTAACTGAAAGTTAGGAGCCTAAATACCTTTGAGGATCTAGGCCTAAGTATTTGTCAGATGGATCAGGCTTTAAGGACGTCCTTCTGAAGTTAATGGGAGATAAAGATGCTAAGCATCTCCCTGGATCAGGCCCATAAATAGGATTTACTTTTGTATACACACGCACAGTACAAATGAGATCAATTGTACAAAGGTGGTCTGAGCTCATTGTAAACTTAAAAAAAAAAAGTGTTGGTTTCAAACCTAAGTAAACAGAAACCCATTGTAGGTAATTTGTAATGGAAAAGCAAAGGGCAAGGTATCATTGATGCTGTGATTTGATCAAACATTCATTACTTGAATATTTTAATAATAAATATTAATAATTTGTTTTAAAGTCTTTGCTATCCTTAAGGGACATAGACCTTTCCCAATATATTTTATATTGACTCTGTTGTCCTTTCCCATCTTGTTTTTTTCCAATTTAATTTAGACTGTAACCCTTAAGGGTAAGGGAATCCATTTTTGTCTGTATTTTAAAGCATCATATCCACTTATGGGACTACACGCTTCATAAATGTGCTGTCGCAATAATTTTGTTCTGTATTGTTAAACAATGATGTATGTTTTATCTTTTCAGTCAGTGAATGTTTCTTTATAATTTACTTGAGAGGTGGTGTATTGGTATGTAAAGTCAACTGTGTAATTGTTTTGGATTGTTTCAGAGGCTAAAGGCTGCAGTTCACTACACTGTTGGTTGTCTGTGCCAAGAAGTTGCAGAAGACAAAGGCATTCCGTTCAGCAAACAAACCATTGCAGCTATTTCAGAGATCACCTTCAGGCAATGTGGTATGTCCATACATATCTATATTTGTACACAGGAACAATCAGTGGAGATGAAGTGCTTTTTAAAAAATAGAACTGGAATTAGACTGTGTCTTGGGTCACTTTTAAAGAGTACAAGAAATATTAACTTTATTTTCCTGGCATGAAGGGGTACTTAACACAAGGTTTATGAAACCTCAGATATGGTCTCATATATGCAAGAAATTGGCCCACATTAAGAAACTGGTCTCAAGAATGTGTATTGATAATGGTTCCAGATAACATGGTTGTTTTGGCTGATGCCTGATAGCGCAAAGCAGAGAGAGCCTTTTCGGACTGCGGGGTTGAGTCTTGCCTTTCTTATTGTATGTGCAGCTATTCAATCTCTTGAAATAGTGTTTTCTGCACTTCATTTTTTTTTTTTTTTTTGTAAATTGAAAATGCTTCAGGTGGTTCTGCATGATAACTGCTATATAAACTTTTGGGCCATCTGAGGAGCTTATGCTTGCTTAGCATTTCTCTGACCTGGGTTTACTTACCAAGTCAGCTTATTGTTCATAATCTCCCCTTAACTAGAAATTATCATGTATAATGGTCCAGAAGCCTTCACTGCTATTTTATATCTAGTCTTTGAAATAAATAAATGCAATTAATGGAATGTGTTGTTTTTGTTTGTTTGTTTTTTTAAAACAAGGCCATGGCTACTTTGTATGCACAGTACTTCTTGTAACAGTTGGGTATTAGCCCCAAAAGGTGTCATTTTCTCCCTAGGTACAACTTCTGCCATAGAGCCACAATGTGGACTGGGCCTCTCCAGCCGTGTCACATGAAATCATAAGAATGTTTAGCACTGATAGAGGTTTATAAACATTAATCACTTGAGATTAGCCAGAGGTGTTTGGCCAATGTAGATGGCTTACGGGTCTAATATTCAAGTATGTAATCCTTGAACTCATGGGACCACAGTTTCAAATTCTAGCAGAACAACGCAACCCATCATACTTCCAAGGTAGATAAGTTGAGTATAATGCTGTTTGTGTCTTTCAGACTGAGGCCTTAAAAATGTGAGGTCGTTTTTGCTCTGCATGGATGTAAAAGGTCCCAGGGCAATGTCTGTAAGAGCAGAAGTTTATTGTTATTATATAATCATACACAGAAACTTGCCCTGGTGTCCCTATCCAAAAATATCCATCACCTCCCCGCACCGTTGTGCATCATATTTTACACTGCTGTTTGCATGGGTGCTGCCCTTTATACCTAAGGATGGTGACCTTACAAGCAACAATGCTAAATGTATTTTCTGAAATGCTTTGAGTCAAATGGTGTTTTGTACATGAGACATTATTGGCCACAATAATTGCTATAGAAATGAAATAGATTTAATCTTGTTGACTTTAGGAAGTGTTTTAACTGTATGAAATGTATTTTTAAAATTTGTCTTTCAGAAAATTTTGCAAAAGACCTTGAAATGTTCGCAAGGTAGGTACAGCAAGAACACTTAATCCTTACAAAGTCTTGGTTTTTTGCTCTCACTCGGTGATATATTTGGATACAGAATGACATCTCTTTCCTTTTCCCCCTATCCCATTGTATTTGAGAGCGCCTATACTTTCTGCATTTTTCAAGGGGCCCAGCCTGCTTTTCATTTGGTGGGTGATTGTGAGGTTAGGTAACAGATACTGAAGCCATTCTGAATTAGAATGTAGCTTTTATTCAGTGCTCATTGTTTGGTTGGGGTCAAGAGTGTCATATTTTTTTCATCTGAGTGGACTGTCTGTATTGGTAATGTTGATTCAAAACTGTCAGGGCATTTTCCAAAGTTTGCTGAGTGCTTGACTCAGAAACTGTTTAATGGATGTGAGTCGTGTCTTAAGGACTCTGGATAGTACTGTGGCTTGTTTCCCCCTCCTATCCGTTTGTCTCAGAATTGCTTTGTCAGTTTGTACCAAGGAAGGAAAAAAACATACACAATACAAAATAAATAAATTACCTAGAGAATTATAAAGCCCTTGTATTGAAACTTGCTTCCTGAGTGTAGTCTTGTGTGTGAATTGTGTTCTCTCTAATGTAATTGCATGCAGATGTCTGGATAAATACAGCACTGTAACCACAGTCAGAGGTTATCATTTTGCTGTGCTTGTTAGCATTAGTCGTGCTTCTCGAAGAACGGATTAATAGTAGTTGGTTTTACACTTGTAAAACTTCTGTTGTGTGATGTGCCTGTGATTTGTACTCATCTGTTCAATTAGAACTGTGGGTAACAGAAAATTATTGTTATTGAAAGTTTTTATGAAACCACTTGAATGACTGAGGACTGTAGAGGCTGAAGCTTTTCAGTGTACCAACAAGTCAGGTTTGATGCCAACAGTCCTTCCTCCCCATTGTATTATTTCTGTATGCAAAACCCCTGTCGATTTAAAATCTCTGTTTTGGGTCATCTGTGTATTTGCTTTAAATGGATGGGTATCTAACTCTACTCTTATAACGTGAAGTGCCCAAGCATCCTTGTATCTCTGCTCTCTCAACATCCCTTCATTTATTGCCACTCGTCCGCTTGTACAAAGCCCTACTGCTAAAATTGCCTTCCTTTCCCAGTTCTTGGTACTGTGTCATTCCCCTCTTTGAATCCCACATCTTTGAAATCAAGTTCAAGCTTGTTGTCCCCTGAATCAAGACCTTGCACAACTTCACCCCATCTACATCTTTACTCTCATTGCTCTTCCAAGGCTTCTTTCCTAAACACCCCCTGCAGCCTCCTCACTCTTGTCTTACACCTTGTTCTGTGCTACTTGGGACATCTCTTTCAGAATTGCTTTCTCCTGGCCTCTCTTTCCTCTCAAGAGGCCTTCCCCTCCCGATGTTACATCATCTGCTTGTGTGGCTGCCTGCCAGCACATTTCTTCCTCTGGGTCACTGGAAGGGTTTATTTTTTTTCAAGTGATAGCTTTAAATCAGTGTCTTTAGATGACAGGGAAATGCATTATCATCTAAATGAGTGGGACTAGATGACTCACAAGCTCTGAACGCTTAGCAGTATGGGGGTGTCTTATCCGGCTGAACTAGAGAGCTTAAAGTAGTGCTGGGGATTCAGTAGGTGGCACTCTGAGTCAAAACTAACCCAGTAACGTAAGATGGTGTCAGAGGGAGCTGTGTTGTTTGAGGTGCCAGTTTTCAGTTATTCATAGATATTAAGGTCAGAAAGGACCATTATGATCATCTAGTCTGACCACCTGCACGACGCAGGCCATAGAATCTCACCCACCCACTCCTATGAAAAACCTCTCACCTATGTCTGAGCTACTGAAGTCCTCAAATCATGGTTTAAAGACTTCAAGGAGCGAAGAATCTTCCAGCAAGTGACCCGTGCCCCACCCTGAGCATATGGGCAAGGTTCACCAGCCAGATACCCAGGAAAGAATTTTCTGTGGTAACTCAGATCCCACCCTATCTAACATCCCATCGGGCCTATTTACCATTTAAAGATCAATTAATTGCCAAAATCATGTTCTATATAGGTTCTTCTATGGCCGTCATCACCGTAGAATCTGAGCACCTTCCATTAAATCATTAAGATGTGTGACTAACATCTGTCATGTGTGGTTCATTTTCTCTAATTCTCTTCCTAGAGAGGAAATTATGTGTAATGTTTGGGTAGATTTTTTTTTTTTTTTGCTACTCTGTTTGTGCTAGAGAAGGCTAGCTGAAGAAATGTGCCTTGCTCTTGAAGTGGATGGTGGTGTGACAGGATGGGATGTCTGTCAGATTATGAACTTATTTCACATTATGTGTGGAAATATTGGGCACTGTGACTGCACAATCCTGGAAATGCTCACTGCCTGGGAAAGGTGTTTAATATCTCATTGAAGGACTGAAAAGTCATCAAGACTGCGATCTAAGGCTGCCGATTTTCATTGTCTCAACTACTGGCACACCCCCATGGAACAGTGGCCTCTCTACATAGGGGCCCACAAGAAAGGGGCAAAGTTGACTCCCAGATCTGGAGCTTCTCAGTGCGAGTATGTGGCAGAGAGATGGAGGTGCTATTTAAGAGCAAGGTCCTTCTCTGTGCAGGGGGGCCGACTGTCACAGTGTGTAACAAAGACTTGCAGGAAGAGTGAGATCAGAGCATGGGAGGGTGTGTCTCAGCACTTTTTGTTGTTTTCCAGGATCTGGGACTCTCGAGTGCCTTAAGAGAAAAATTTCTGTGGTTAAGAACTTCCTTTCTGAATCTGTGTTCCTTGCTTTCCTATTATGTTGTCTCCAAAGGGGGTAAACTGAAAGCCAGAATTCCCACAGGAACTCTCAGGGTGCATGTGTGAGTGACTGGGAGGCTTAGGAAATCTAAGCCACTGGTTTCAGGGTCTAGGCAGCTGTATTATAGCATCCCACATCCCAAGGAAGGATGTCAGCAGGTCACACCCCTAAACTCAGACCTATAGACCCAGAGTTAGAAATAGTGACTAGCTAGGACCCAGACATAGGCAACTGGAAATGGTAGAAAATGTTTCTCATAGATGCTGTTTTGTGAGAGCTTAGCATCAGCGAGGACTCAAGAGCCGTCCTAAACAATGGACTGAATTGTCCAGTTATGGGTTGTGTACCTTCAACCAAAGGAGACTGCACCATAACTGCAAATTCCTCAAAGTGTTTTCCTCTTCCCACCAGCATCACCTTAGTCTTGCTTGGGTTCAGCTTGAACCAGCTTCTGTTCGTCCATGAGCTGATTTAATCAAAGCCCTGGGCCATCTTAGCAGTGGTGGTACAGTCACATGTGGTGAAGGAGAAGTAGAGCCATGTGTCATCTGCGTATTGCTGGCGCAGGAGTCTGTCATCTTACCAGTTCTCATTATGGCTAAAAGGTGAATAGGACTGGCAACATAATTGATCCTTGTGGAATTCTGCACATGAGGGATCTGGTTCAGAGGTACAGTTTTCCATCACTATTTTTTGGATATGTTCCTCAAGGAAGGACTTTAAAACCATTTTAACATGTTCCATGGACACTGCCACCTTTTTCAGGTGAGGACATGGGAGTTTATCTCAAGAACAGCAGAGCTTTAGGAGACTGCTTGGGTTCAAACAACTGTGGCTTAGAGCAGGATCTGTGAGTCCGGACCACTTGCGTTTGTTCCCAATTCTGAAATTGATTCACTATGTGAGTCTTAGACAAGTGGCTGGAACGCTTGATGCCTGTTTTCCTCATCAATTTAACTTGTAAGATCTTGTGTGGCAGGGACTGTTTCTTTTTAAGTCTTCTGTGAAATGCTTAGCACCCTAAGGGGCGTTGCAAAATTGGGATAATATCCATATTTGTAAAGAGCGTTGAGACCCTTGGATAAAAAGAAAGGTGCTGTCTAAATTATCACTTATTATCATAAATAAGAGTGGCTGGGGACTCTTGCTGATCTATCTCATTCTAAGATGGTCAGACACAGGTGAGAGAGCTCATGGTTAGGTGTACAGACTTTTTTACTTAGTGTTTTTTAACACCCCTTTGCTACAGATCTCAGCAAACATACTGCAAACTGGTTGTTTTTTTAATTTCATGCAGGCATGGAAAACGAACTGTAATCAATTCAGAAGATGTGAAGCTTTTGGCCAGGAGGAGCAACTCTTTGGTGAGATTAACACATTTCCCTCCCTCCATTTTATTCCTAATAAATTACACGAGTATTCCCAAGAGCATCTGCATAAAAAACAGGTGGTGAAATTATTAACACCTGCTTTTAAATTATAACCCAGAAAAAGATATGGATAGTGGGGTGGCAAGACCAATCTCCGAACCAGCATCCTTGGTGATCAGTTTGATTATTTTTGTATCCTGCTCTAGTGTTTGACATTTCTTCCTCAGTATAGTAGCACAGATCTGATTACAGCTGGAGCAGCAGCCGTGTTCTAGATACAGCAAAGCTGCTGAGGCTCCTGGTGCAGAACATAACCTCCAATGAACATGTTACAATATCTTCAGACTTGGAAAGAGATTCTTTTGTTTTTCCTGTCATGTTTTTGAGTTTCGGGTCAGGGAAATCTCATCAAAGCTGCTAAATGACCTAACACATTAGTAAAGTGGAGATTATTCTTCCCAGATTTCTGTAAATATTCTGTCATATGATGGCCTATATGAGATCCGATGTGCATTCCGCATAATTTAGCTGTTACATGTAACAGCTATCCTGGTAAGCATCTAAACGTCATCAGGAAGAGAACATAAATCCTGCACATTGGAACAAGTATTTGTTAAGCACCAACATTGTGTTTGGCACTGCACAGAAACCAGAGACCTTGTTCTGAGGAGTTTACTATCTAAACAGATACTTCTGTGCAACCTTGTACACTTCTCTGCAAACGTGCCTCAGCTGCTAATTTTAGCCTTATCTGGGTAATTTTTTCTTTCCATGTGGGACATGTGACACAAGCCCATCTCAGAAGAATTGGTGAGGACTGGAGCTTTATTTTATATCCTAACTACCAGATGCAGTATAACTTAATTGGATGTGGAGTGTCTGTGAGGAGAAACAAGATTATTGTGCTGTCTCCATACTGGAACCACAACTGTGCTAGCTACAAATCTGTGTAAACATAGCTGTAACTAACTGTGAGCTAGTAAGGGAACAGGGTACAGCATCGAAGCCAAGGCACTGATCCAGCACTGGGATCTCAGTTCTCTAGGATGTTTCTACAGAAAATCCAAATAAAAATGAAGGTTTTAGTCAAAAAATAGGACAGCTGGTGCCTGGCCCTACTGGTGAGTGGAATGTTTCTGTCTGTAGACAGGAAGTTGGCCAGTTTTTTTTCTTAGGGTGCGTGAACAGGCAGATCATTGATTAATTCTCTGTTGTTAGCTAATCCCCAGCAGATGACTGATTAATAATTCTCTGTTGTTAGCTAAGGTATATCACCCAGAAGAGTGAAGAGCTTGCATTGAATAATCTGGAACAAAAGGAGAGGAAGAAAAAGAAGTCCAGCGCAGCAAAAGGAAGACGAACCTCTGATGAGCAGGTGGAGGCTGCTATGGCTGAGAGTGAGGATTCCAACATGGGATGATCTTCCTCTCAAACCACTTCTTTGCTTGCAATCTGCTTTGAAACATGGAGCAGTAAGGATCCAATACTATCCTAGGGAAACAACTGCAGCCTATTTGTATGGGAACTCCATTGGGAGTTGCCTTTGTGGGGTAGCTACAGCATTGAGTCCTTAGGTTTTAGGTGAACACGATTAATGTTTTAGTTCCATCTGCAAAAACAGGCATCAACACCAAAAGCTTTTTAGAGGTCATCAAAGGAAGGCTTACAAAGACAAGTATTGCCATATTTTCATGTTTTTCTATTTATATTTCCCAAAAGAGAATTTATTATTGAGTGCTTGAAACTCTAAAGCAAGGTATCCTTTGCCTAGCCACATAAAAGAATCTAGAGTGTGAAGGACGCTTTCTGGCAATCCTCCATGTCATTTGTGGTTGGCTTCTTCAAATTGCTAGTCTGAATTGTGATACTCCACACTTGTTGGTTGCTACTTTGCTGAAGTGTATAAACATTTTTCAGCCATAACTCATGTTTGTCATTCTTTTTGGCTATTAAAGTAGATTTTCCTGCATCATTTTCCCAAGTGAAATTACTTGTGTGCAACACTCTTATTTTAATTAGAATGAACAAGCTGTACTTCAAGCCCTTGTGTTTAGATGAAACAGAAGATACTGACAACATATCCTAAGATTAGTTCATCTCCTCTGCTGCTGCCAGACCTTCTGGCTAAAGTCAAATGTAGCATTGGATTACTATTGGATGTGTCCTCAACCTTCTTTACTGGTGGACCTATGATTCAGGGTCATTTCTAAATAATTATTCTGATTCTAATATATAGGGGGATGAGACTGGCCTCTTTAGTAGCTTCTTTTTTGCCCTTTCCTGAACTTAGACTTATCTTGTGCCGCTCACTCATCCTGAGCTGTCCCAGTTAGCACTCTGCCTTATGGACTTTCTCAGCTCAATGAACCTGTGTCTATTTGAACATGTGATGCAGTTGCAAAAAAGATTAATATCATTCTGGGGCATATTAAGATGAATGTCATATGTAAGACCTGGGAGGTAATTGTCCCATTCTGCTTACCCCTGGTGAGGCCTCAGCTGGATAACTTGTCTAATTCTCAAAAAGAAAAGGAGTACTTGTGGCACCTTAGAGACTAACCAATTTATTTGAGCATGAGCATCCGATGAAGTGAGCCGTAGCTCACGAAAGCTCATGCTCAAATAAATTGGTTAGTCTCTAAGGTGCCACAAGTACTCCTTTTCTTTTTGCGAATACAGACTAACACGGCTGTTACTCTGAAACTTGTCTAATTCTGCGTGCCACACTCTGTGCCCCTCTGCTCTAGCTAAGACTGAGTGTGGAGCTTCCATACAAGTTTTGTTCCTCAAAGGTCCCTACAGTCCCCAGTGAACTTCGAAATAGCAGCTTTGAAATAGCAGCTCTTCTGAGCTTCAGTGCTGCTTCCAAAGCAACCAGCAGGGGATCGTTATCTAGCTGAGTGTGACACCTCCATAGCATTGTCACCTTCAGAGGGGCTGGGAAATGGGGGTTATGTCTGAAAATTAAACTGGAGTCTCTGGAGTCATGATGGTGCAGAGCACTACCCACTACACCAGCCAACCAGATCAGAAATATTTGGAATTCTGAAACATGTGGCTGACTGGGCTGATTATGACCCCAAAACCCTGGTGTTATATCCTTAAGAACATTTGTGCCATTGACGTTGTTCAGTCTTTTCGTCATTTGGGCCCTCATGCTACTCCATGTGATATTTAATTTATTCACTTTTTTAATCAGATTACTTATTTAGCCATTCTGGGGAAGAGGCTATAAAATAAAGTCCAGAGAAGTATCTAATGTTGAGGTTGATCTGCCTTTTGATACTGTCTGCTCCACAGAATTTCTGGTGCTGTGTGAATTTGATCCTATATGAGCTGTGGAAGGCTTCAGCTGTTGAATTTTTGGGTGGAATTGACTCCATGAGGAGTGAGTCTCTTTAAACTACTATTTCAGACTGCACTCAGCATGGAGTTGTCTTTAACTGCTTCTTAGCATTATAGCAACTGAGACAGTGTTGCCAACACCTGTGATATTTGGTGTTTTTCATAAAACCTGAGCTCCTGGAGTGAAGTGATTTCATAAGAATCTCTGCTTTCATTTAAAAAAAAGTTTCTAGCTCTCATAGTTTTGGAAAAAAGCTTGAAAATATGACTAAGTTTACCCTAAAGGCTCAGAAACTAGAAGGCAAATATAAAGAACCCCAAATCTGTTTTTAAAAAATAAACATGACTCATGATTTTTGAAGGTTCAGGGTTGGCAAGACTGCAGAGACAGGATAATATTTTTAGAATTAGGATCTAAAAGTAGCATAGCAAAGACTATTGATTAGAGAGGGGCATCAGATTCAGGATTTCTAAAATCCATTCCCAGTTCTGATATTGTCTTGCCATGTGATTCTGTGCAACTTTTTTCAGCTTTAGTTTTACCATATCTAGAAAGGGGATGATCATCTGTCATTATAGGAATGAGCACAGAATTTAAGAGCCAGGAATGACTGAGTATTATTTCCTTCCCTAATGTTACTCTCCCCTGTCTACATTAAAGAATTAACTTGGGGGAAGGTGGAGGGAGGAGAATAGACCCATGCTGATTAGTGTTCTGAACTATTGCACACTAGCACTCTTCTAAACAGTTTCAGTGGCAGTGTTCTCTGGGTACATCTCCCACAGTTCCTGGCAAGGCCCACAGAAGACACAGATTCTGAAAAAGCTGTAGTGCCCTCTGTGACAGTAGGTGGAAGACTACGGGTACTATTTTAGTGCCATCCACACTAGCACTTACACTGTGCAGATTAAACTGGTGTTTAGTTCTGCTGAAGGCAAGCCTAATCAAAACAGCTATATTTAATAGGCATGTAAACCATTTGGAGGACTAGTGTATGACATTAAACATGTTGGGGGTCCAGTCATAGCACAGACATTTTCTCTACTGTAGATAAAGCCCTAGAGGCCCTGGGTCCCCAGAGTATACCCCTCTTATAATGACCTGGGAGGGAGAAATAATTCATTCTGCACAGCTGCCCTCCCTGCAAACTCCTGCACTCTGGGCCGACTGAGGCAGAAGTTTAACCCTTTCCTTGCCAACTGCTGGACAGAGCCTATACACCTCATGACTGGTGGCAGCTATTTAGTTAATATTGGTAAATCTCTTTCAAATGCAAAGTATACGATTTAAATATGTTGGATACATTCACAAACCAAAAGACCCGTATGCCTTCAGTTCTGCTTCTAGCTCCAAATTATTGCTAGGACTCCTTAATCCAAATTATACTCAGTCTGTCAAAGGTTCCAACTATTGCTGTGTTGGGGTGTAGGAAAGAAATTGAGTGAGCCTCATATGCTCCCCCAAAGAACTTCAGGCAGATCCAAACTGCATCCTTCCCCCTTTAGATGCTCTCAGTGGATCCCTAGCATTTCAAGATTTCATTCCAGCTGCCTGTTAACATCTTCTTCAAAGAACTGTTGTGATGCTACTGCTCACTTCTGTGAAGGGAATGGAAGCCTTTGAAAGTGATATAACTACACTTCACAGCACTAAGAGAAAAAACACCTCAGTTGTTTAATTGTAAGTGATCTCAAACTTGTTTTAAACAAAGCAAGGCTTCTCTGACAGACCCTCCAGCAGAGCTGTAGCCATTCCCAAGGTTTCTGCTCCCTTTGAAGAGGGTTGATGTTAGGGGGCTTATTCCTTCACCCACTTACTTCCCTTGTCCTTCTCGCATGAACAGAGAGCAACAATACCCGAAGTCCAAAGGTGCAAACAATTCGATGTTTATTGGGGTGAACTTCCAACAAGCATGATTCCAGTTTCCTTTCTTAGTATCCTCCTTCCCAGTTCTGACACCACAGAGCCTTACACCTGTGTCCCTGTTCACATTCCTGCCCTTAGCCAAACATGATTCCAATTTCCCCACCCCCATTCCCTGTTCCCATTTCCCCCACTCACACCCCCCCACTTCCTGATTGACTGCAGACTATATAGTAAAACTTGAAAAAAGAAAAGGAGTACTTGTGGTACCTTAGAGACTAACCAATTTATCTGAGCATGAGCTTTCGTGAGCTACAGCTCACTTCATCGGATGCATAGGATGAAGTGAGCTGTAGCTCACGAAAGCTCATGCTCAAATAAATTGGTTAGTCTCTAAGGTGCCACAAGTACTCCTTTTCTTTTTGCGAATACAGACTAACACGGCTGTTACTCTGAAACCAGTAAAACTTGAGTTCGGCTTAGCTATACCTTAACCAATCATTTTCCTGAAATTTAACTAACCAATCCTAACATACTGTAACATGATTATGTAACCAATTATATCCCACCACCTTAATTAGTTTACACCCAGCAAAATTAATTACACAGCAGACAGAAACAATCACAGAACCAGACAGAGATTATATGGACAAACAATAGCAGAGTGGGAACTATAATGACAAAACAATACAGAAGTGAGGATTTCACATCCCAGCTATTGATAAGTGAGTTCTTGCCAGACAGGATGCTATCAAACTAAGTTTCCTTTTACATTTTCTAGGCACTTCCCTTTCTCTGGAGGTGATAGGCATTATCAGGACAGGATTGTATTCCTAACAGCCCAATAGCACCTTCTTTCAATGTGACTAGTTTGGAATGTGAGGATGTGACAGGTCACTTCCCAGTTTATGGCTGCCTCTGTTGCTTAGCCAAAGGTCTTAGCCTAAGAACAGGGCCTCAGACTGTCACAGTAAGAGAAGGCCCTTACACCGGCAGGCAGTGATTTTGATTCTTTTCAGAGGAACAGCCGTCTCACCTTAGGATAACCAAAAAATTGGTAGTCTAAGAACCCCTTTTTTTTTGATTCTTTTATATCTCTATAACTAGCCAAGTGATAAGAATACATCTAAATTCTTAGAGTACAGGCCTTTACAGACAGGCCTAAATATCTATATCCTAACAGTTGAGTCTGCAGCCATGGTCCTAGAAGACAAACCACCATTGAGGCTAGGTGATCAACTCAGGACATGTCACTCCATGAGGATATTCAGCCAGGGCAGCTTCTTTCTGACTAGGCGACCACAAGGAAGAAACAACTTCCAGGATGTAAAAAGAAAAGGAGTACTTGTGGCACCTTAGAGGCAAACCAATTTATTTGAGCATAAGCTTTAGCTGTATTGGCTGTAGCTCACGAAAGCTTATGCTCAAATAAATTGGTTCGCCTCTAAGGTGCCACAAGTACTCCTTTTCTTTTTGCGAATACAGACTAACATGGCTGTTACTCTGAAACCTTCCAGGATGTAGTTTGCTCAGATGTATTAATCATTACATTTTTGAAACCCATGACTTCAGTGGGTTGCTGCAGTGGAGGATTCTTGCCATGTTAGAGGTTAAACTTTGATCATTCAGGATAGTGTAAGGTGCAATGCTTCTGCCTTTAAATTGGCTCTGCAGCCTCTCCTCCCATCTCCAAACCCATGCACAAAATCCACACTCATGAATCATTTGCAGCTAAATCACCCTATTTTGTACTCAAGACTGCCTGGAATATAGGAATAATGGTGAGGAAATGATGCAGTTTTTTTAGCAAACAGAATGCATATGCAGCTTAAATTAACAGCAAATACACACTTTAATAGCAGCACAATCCAGAAGCGCTAATTAAGGGTTAAATCCAAACAGTGTATTGTTGGGAAGTTAATTGCTCTTTGGTTTTTTTACGTCACTGCATAAGCTGAGAAAAGGGGGGCTGCTGTAATATAAAAATAACTGAGCTGGACGTTTTGCTCCAGCCCAGAGAAAAAAAAAACAAACTTGCGAGGCAGGGAAGTAGCTTGTTGCAGAGCTCTATCAGGCAGTGTTCCACATACATCCACCACTCTGCCTGTTTCTTCTGCTGACTTCTGTCTCCTGGATGATGGGGGCTGCTGCATGTCCAATACAGGAAAGACACATATTGAAAGACAGCAAGGTAAGCGGAGAATGGATAAAAACCCATTATATCTATAATGCTTGTTATTCACTCTTCTTTGCACTGTACCCAGGTGAACAAGAGTTTCTCATCTGGGGCCACAGGGTACTCAAATTGCCAGGATCTAATAACAGGAGAATCTGAGGTATTGGTTTGTTTCAGTTCCCCCTTTTTCTGCTCTGTGCCCTCTATTTCCTCTTGTTTATCCCAGTCCTTTCTTTAGTGGGGATTTGGTACTTCCTCAGAGTACCAAAAGGCTGACCTGCCTCAACAACTGCCTTGTTTGTACTATGTTGTTTGTACATCATTTAGATGAGACTTTCAACATTGGGGTCCTGTCTGTGCTCCTCTGACATTAAAGTCCTAGGGAAATTTAATAAGCATAATGGCTTGACCCGTTGTCCCTGACCAAAAATCTTTCCCTCCCCGCAACATACACATACAATCATTGTGTCAGTTAGCTGCTGTTTCCTCCACCCCCAGAAATGGTCGCAACTCAACGGAGCTGCAGTTTGTTGAAGTGCGTTAGCACTTTTCATTATAAATGATCCTATCTTGCCGTAAAAGATTTGTCAGCCCCAGACAGGGAACTCTGGCTCTGAACTGAATACTCCAATAACATAATGGCCTAGTCACTTAGCTGCCTATATGTGTCTACACTAAAAAAGTACCTTAATTTATAAAGATAATTGAATGCTTTTACTAGTTTCTAAAAAAATGTCATTACGTTAGCCATTTAAAGAGTTTTCAGCTTTAAGTGTTTGATTTACTGTACTCTTTTGAAAAAGATCCAAGAACCAGTACATAAACTTGACCATTAAAAAAGGATTTTTCACTGAAATTATAGAATGAGCTACAGCATTGTACTTTATTAGCTGAAAGCTCTTGACATTTTTTTTGGTGAGACTTTTAAAGGATGTTGAAGACAGTAACAGAATTTTTAAAAGGACACATTAAAAATAATGCTTCTGTCTTTTATACCTGCTATGGCAAGTAACATTATGACTACTATTAATTGAAATCTTAGAGGGGGAAAAAGTCAGTTTACTGTGTACGCAGTTTCCATTTCTTTTATATAAGCATCTTGTTTGCCTGGGTCTTGAGCAATAGGGAAAATAAAATAATTTTAAAACAAAAAGGAAGATGATTGTATGACCAAAGAAATTGGCAGGTGCAATATCTTTTAGTTCTTCTTAATAACTGACTAGATTTCCAGTTGGTGTTCCTTTAAGATGCCTAAGCTATCATTATATGGCCCTGGGAACAGCTCTACCTTTCCGTATGAGAATGGAATGATTGTGTTGACTTAAAGATAATATTGTGATCAGCAACAGCTCTTTTCAAATGAGGAATTCAGTGTTTTATGAACATTAAGTATCCCCCTAATGTCTTACTGCTGGACTCAGAGCATGCAAAAAAAGTAATTGGGAAACCATGATTTTGCACACTGCTAGCTTGCCCCAGTGTTGCTGAAATACATTGATAGAAATAGTTGGCAACTGTTTCTGGAAGTACAGACGTACATGTTAGGTGACCTTCTTCTCTGTGCCAGGATGTGCCTTTCAGCCACACTTTAGGCTTCCCTTTCTCACTTGGAGGAAGGGTTTCTCCCCCTAAGATTAATAATTCTTTCTTTTTTTACAAGTACTTGCAGGAACGGACAGAGGTAAAGAGAAGCACCTTGCCCACTTTCCTCTCTGCACTGGTTGACTGGATATCCCAGATGGAGGACACATCCCTGACGGAGGAGGAGGTAGAGCTGGCCAACCGGCAAGAGAGGTCTGCCATTCAACTACCTCGAGCATGGGAAAAGTCCCCCTGCAGGAACTTATTCCGGAAGACTTTCTCCTCCTGCTAACAAAATAGCTTCCTGAAGCTCTATTTTAGAGTGGCTTTAGCAACAGCTGCCTCCATCAGAATGAATATTATCAGTGACTGCTTCTCTGTGAACAAATACTATCTCTTTGTAATAAGTGTGATTAGTCTCTCTCTCCCCATCCTCATTCTCTAATAAAAACTGAATAGAAATGTATAGACAGAAATAATTTTATGATTGAAATGGAGTGCAAATATAGAGACTGAGCATCTTGAAAAGTACCAAGTTGTTACTATTTGGGCTACAGTTCAGATAAAAGGCTGAAATGTCAACTGCCCAACAACTCGTGGTCTGATCCTGCAGTTCTCATTTCCCCAAAATTCTCTAAGGGGAGGAGGGACTGCAGGAGCAGGTTTAATAAATAGTTACATTGGCATTATCTATAGTGGAGCTGCAAGGATCATGCTGTTTTTTATTCTTGCTCCTTAGGTTTTTCATACCTTTAGCTGGTACAACCTCCTACTTTATACTACATCACTGTAAAGCTTGCTCTGGGAAAGACTTCACTTCTCTTAGTTTAAATTTTTTTTGGAAGACCTATTTTGTGTTTTTTTTTCTAATATCTGCACCCTTATCTTTAATGTTGTTACAACTACCAGTAGTTTGCTTTTTGTGTCAACATTAACCTATACATGAGACACATCTTTCATTACTGTTTAGTATAAATTAAGAGTAAGCTTCATAGATTCCAAGGCAAGAAGGGAGTGTTGTGATCACCTAGTTTGACCTCCTCTATAACCCAGGGCATAGAATTTTCCCAAATAATTCCTAGAGCGTATCTTTTAGAAAAAAAACATCCAATCTTGATCTAAAAATTGTCAGTGATGGAGAATCCACCACTTGGTAAATTGTTTCAATGATCAAGTATTCAATTTTTAAAATTTACACCTTATTTCTAGTCTGAATTTGTCTAGCTTCACTTCCACCCATTGGGTCATTTTATACATTTCTCTGCTAGATTGCAGATTCCCCATGTAGATACTTATAGACTGTAATTAAATCACCCCTTAACCTTCTTTGTTAAGCTAAATAATTGAGCTCCAATGAAGTGAGCTGTAGCTCACGAAAGCTCATGCTCAAATAAATTGGTTAGTCTCTAAGGTGCCACAAGTACTCCTTTTCTTTTTGAGCTCCTTGAGAATATCACTTTAAGGCATGTTTTCTAATCCTTTCATCATTCTCATGCTCGTCTCTGAATCCTCTCCAATTTATTAACATCTTTCTTGAATTATGGGCACCAGAACTGAGACAGTATTCCAGTCACATCAGTGCCAAGTACAATAGTGAAATAACCTCTACTCTTACCTGAGATTTCCCTGTTTATGCATCCCAGTTATCACATTAGCTCTTGTGGCCACAACATCACATTGGGAGCTCATATTCATCTGATTATCCACCACAATCCCCAAATCTTTTTCTGTCACTGCTTCCCAGGATACAGTCCCACATCATGCAACTTCTGTTTCTCTTACATAAATGGGGGCCCAACAGGATCTTCAATACTGGGTTGAACTTTTGCTTACTAAGTTTCAGCTTTGCATGAAATGTACCCCTCAGAATATAAGGCTTTATAATGAAAAAGCTGACAAGCCTTCAACTGTTCTTTGCCCAGTAGGAAAATCAGTAAACTGAAAAGCATGGTGCTGGCTGGTCTAGTTCATTGCTGAATTTGTACTCGAGTAATTATCTTTACACAGTTGAATAAGGTATGGTTTTTTGCCTGAGTAGCATGAACAAACATTCTATACAGCTACTATGGCCGCCTACAACAGGAGAAAAGCCATCCCCTGTGGCAGGAAAATTGCTTACAATGTGAGAAGGTAAATAAGTAGTGTGATAAACTATTGTTTTCCCTGTCCAACTCACAGACACATATTGTTCCATTGTAAAAGAAAGGGGTAGTTCAGGCCAAGAGTGAGCTTTTATTTCATAGAGACAAGACAGCACTTCAGTAGGTTCTTGGCAATCAGGATCCCATGTTTAAGTCTAGGTAATACCTTTCAATTAGAAAGAAGTAAATGACATCCTTAACTCACACCTACTCCTAATTAAGATTCAGCATGGTTTTATAGGAAATAAAAGTTAAACTTAGTTTTCCTATAAGACAGCAGATTTTTGCTTAAGTTACATCAGACACTAGAACTGGTTCAGGGTTATGTTCATTATAACTACAGTAAGCATTGTAGTTATGGCTCATTCATTAAAAGCTAGATTGCAACATCTGTACACAAGGGGCATTTCTGAATGTTCAGCTTTGCTATACATTAAGTGACTTATCTACTCCAATGCTTAACCTAATATTAGATTAATGAGTTTTGCAATGTTGGAAATACTGTATAATTGTGTATATTAAATATTCACCGCCCCTTTTAAATGCTTCAGCATTTTTATCTTTTGCTCTCCTAGGACAGAACTATCAATAGAGAATGTATGTGCTAATGCACTGTTACCAACATTAATGTGGGTCAAGGCCAAATGGCACCTTTGGGAAGGCTAACTGCCACAAACTCTACAATTAAAAAAAAAGTCTGAGACGACAAGCCCCCTTGGTGCTTGGGTGATATCAGGGTGTTTCCAATAATTAGACAGTCATGTTCTTGGAGATATATAGCAAGCCAGGCAGTATGTGAGAGCATCACAATAAAACAGCTTAATAGTATAATAAGCTTTTAATATTAAAGTTCTCCATTAAAAGTGTTTCAAATTATTTTAAAAAAAAGGGCCAGTCAATAAGAACAGTGTCATTATGTTGTATAAAAATATAGGAATATAGACAGGCCCAAAAATGAAGTTTTCTCCCTGAAGCCCTTTAAAAACCAAGCATTTTAATTTTCGGCATGCTTGACAAACATCAGTTCTCACTCTCCTCCCGCAGGGGGAGGTAGTAGCATGTGGAAATAATGGCACAAAAATTAAAATATGATTTGATCAGTTACACAGCAAGAGATTATCAGAACCAGGATTTGAACCTCAAGTCCCTGGATCCCAGACTCGTTCTCAGTCAATGCCACATAAAGTGGTAGTTGGAAAAAGTCTGCACACTGGCAGTCTGACTACAACAAATTGTAATAAACCTCACCAGGAACAGGCACTGAGAACACTGCATCTCTCACTATTGCACTCTGTTTAGAAAATAATCTGAAGAGAATGTGCTTGGTCTGCACTCTCCTGTGCAGCCTCAGAATTTGGTATGAAAACCCTCATGCTCACACAGCGTTTAAAGTGCCCTCTAACTTGGGCATTGTCTATACTTGAAAGGAGTTACCAGTATATGGGTAGAGGAAACCCACAGATACCCCAAGTGGAGACACAGCTTATGCTAGCAAAAGTTCTCTTGCTTAAACCAGTTCCCTGAATGGAGTAAGCTATACCTGTAAAATAATTCTTTTGCTAGTAGAAATACACCTACACTAGGCCCTTTGATTGCACAACTATGTTGGTTAGAGGTGTGATTTCCCCCCTCCTACCTGACATAGGTATGCCAGTAAAACTTGAAGAGTACACCAAGGCTTAGCCTCACAGTACCCCTCTGAGTAAGTAACTCCCCGCATCTGAAAGACAGGAGGGAAGAGATAATGATTAGAACTCAAGAGCACCTGGCTCCCAGTTCTTCATTCAAAAATACCTCTCTAATGCAGCATTTAGCAGGACACTGGTTTCTGGACTACAGAAAATTTGACAAGTACCACTACTCTGAAAAAAATAAAGCCTTTGGTTACATGAGATCCTAGACTCTCACTAGAGGGATTAAACCTGTCTGTTAACAACACAGAGGCAGAGACAAGCCCAGTTTTTAGTTCTCTAGAGGCAGGGCATAGTATGACCAGAAAACTATGGTACTTGGGGAATTTAACACACCATTTGCTTGTGTTGGCTCTAATACACAAGAGACCTATGTTTCTTTGACATTTAAAGCACTGTCAGCAGCAGTGCTGCGAAGTCTCTTACTTCTTGCGTTTTGAACTCAACCAGTCTCCCCAGGGCAGCTTTTTCTTGCCCTTTGATATACTCCTCAGGGAGCGTAGAGCCTGCACTTGCTGTAAGCGCCTGGAGAGCTCCTGATCACAGGCCTGTTGGAGAGCTTCAGTCTTCTGCTTATCCCAGCACAGTGCCAGAGCCAAGACTTCTGTGTCTTCCTTGAAAACCAGCTGTGAAATAAAAAGTTGGACACACTGAGCCTCAGTGCCCCACACCTTGTCTTTTACAACAGCCAGAATTTCTTCTAGTGGTACACTCCTCCTGAACTGAACCCTTCCCCCCAAAGTAAAAATAGGTGGATCCATGAGAGAACTGCTGAAACACAAGCAATGATTTGGTATATTTAATTAAGACCAAAAACTCACTGGGGTCTAACACATTTATCCTTGAGCTTCACAATTCCCTGACTTAAAGTTTCTACCTTTCAAGCCTAATTTGTTTTTAATTCTACTTGGCATCTGGAAGTTAGGAGCTGGAAAGGTCCAGTAGGTGCCTGAATGACTTAAATCCAGCCAAACAAAATCAATACATTTACACTCTCTTTTGTCAACAGTAGGGAGAAACAAACAAGGAAGTCACAGGTCCTTGCAACCAAGATGAAAACTCTTCAGGATGAGAGGCAATTCTAGAAACCTTCACCTTTCCAAGATAAGGGTTTATTTACGTTGTTTTTCTGTTTTACTGGGACCTTTAGCTGGCCTGGTAATATGAAAAGAAAAAAAATACTGCTAAATGCAGATTTGCATTCAAAGAGCTAGCTTGTAAAATATTCCTAGTTTGAATTCTGGGTGACCATTTCCTATGACTAGTTGACAAAGCTCACAAGAAGTTCCCATGATGGGTTCCTTTTGGGGAGAAGGGAATTTGAGTAATTGTACTGCTTGGGAAAAAGACAGGATACCACAGGGGAGCTCCACGCATGGAGGAAGTATATGCTGTGGCAAGGTTCCACAGTGCTGGGATTTTGAACAAAAGATCACCATACTGTACCAGGGTTTAATAAAGTGGAGAGAGAAGACCAAATCTCATTACCTTTGTGCCTTAAACTAGAGTTAACACTTGGGTCTCCAGAGGTGAAAGGAGACCCTTCTCTGCACAGGGAGATGCCAGTCAGCCTGCCTAGAACAGGGTGAAGACCAAAAGTTACCAACCTCTAGATCCTGACTGTCTAAGCTGAGTTCTGGGGCAGGTTTCTCTTTCAGTGCAGCAAGGATCCCGCTACTGAGTGATCTTTTGGCGG